TCACTAATTATACAAACTCGAGTAGATACTCAAAAATCAATGAAAAATTTCGCTCAAATTTCCCATATCGTCACCAACACGTCGTTGACCATGTACATATCCCCCCTTCCTTATTAGTATTACCAACAACTCCAACACATGGGATCCAAATCCTCCTATTGAGCCTTCCTCCACAGTAACCATAATATCATGTCCTCTCGCCAGCTCGCATATCATAGTCTCGTCCAGTGGCTTCATCCACCTTGCATCAGCTACCGTCACGTGATGACCGTACTTCTCCGAAAGAACCCTACCATCAACATCTGAACTCATAATTCATATCATATACAGATTAATTATTAAAATTACTATTACCCTTCTACTAGGCGCGTACTAGTCAATATAGGAGTACTACTGCGCACTAAACAGAAACTCCAGGCCCCGATATATGCACCCAAACAAATCCACATCTATACTGGAGGTAAATCAGAACTAACATAATTATAACAACAATAACAGTAAACATATTACACCACCACTAGCCACCTGGTTACGCTAGATTTATTGAATTTGATAATGAATTGGTAATGTCGTTCTCTACAGAGCGTGTCACCCTCAAATTTCGTTCAACTTCGCACACGCGCTCACAGGTAGATTCATTGGTAAATTATAAGCAAGTCCCTTAAGTGGCTTAGTGGGATTGCGATGACGAGATCATCCCAGCCGAATGACCTCCCAAAGATCCTCCTCGTATATCAGGATTTCTTCCCGACGACTTTCATACCGGCACATGCCGTAAAACGTTCAACATTTATAATAAACACTTTCCATCAACAGCGTCCTAATCTCCCCCATCACTATTACTTAGCAGCTTTTTTGCATTCCCCCAGCCGGGCGCCCAAACTCAACAACACCACACTTAGCTCGCCCTCCTTCCCATCGTACTCCTAACAAACGAGAGCGACTAGATGATTGCAGCAACGGAGGGAATACTACATATGTTAGTGAAAATATAATAAGAAA